ATTTATAAAATTATTATTATATTTTTTAAAAAAATAAAAAATGAAGTGCCGATTTAGCTCCTTGAAAAAAAAGAGCATCGATCTCCGAGCATCAGTTGGTGTTCCTTTTTTTAATTAATAAAAAAATTAATTATAAGATTAATAAAAATTATATAATAGTAATTTTTAAAATTAATAAGGGTAAAATTATCATTTTAAAATGCCACATCACCAAATTAACGAAAACACTAATAGTTGGACCATGTGTCTAACGAAAGATTTTTTTTGAGATGGAGTGTCTATTTCAAAAACTAATGGATCCACTTAAATTTGAATTAAAACTTAAGAGGGTGGGGGTATTTTACCCTTTTTTATTTGTTCTTTGCAGTACTTATGCTGCAACTTATTTTACAATTTTTTTTGAATTTTTATTTATATTTATATTTATATTTTTTATGTTGCATTTTTTAAAGAAATAAATCAATAATACAAAAAATATTAAAATGATAATAAAAATTATAATAAAGTTTGATATCTCTTTAGATAATATATTTCTTTATGTAATAAAATCTCAAAAATGTAATTATTTAATCGTTTTAATACCATTCTCATAGTAATATAAAAGTATAGTCTTTGTTATTGTATGCATTCTTTATAATGTTAATGCCATAAAAAAGTAACTAATAATAATTTCATTGGCACATTTTAGATATATGTAGTTTATGTCAAATTTGTAATAATGTGCATAAAGAAATAAAAATAATAATATTGCATATGAGGACTTATCTCATTTTTGGCTGATGTCTGTAAAATTGGTGAAATTCCTCATATTCCATATTGAGTAGTCCATCAATTTGAGTATGATAATCTCACGTGTCTTTTTCTCTTAGCCACTTTTCCTCTTATGTTTCATTATTTCTTTTTCAGAGACTTTACGTACTCTTGGCTAAACTTAAGAGTTGTACGCATATGATTTTTTGTATTTAAACTTTTGTTTACTAGTATTGCTTCTAGTCCTTATGTAACACATATGTAACACAAGAATTAGAAAGTTAACTTGCGATTGCCAATATTCCATGAGCAAGTATTTCAACAAAAATGGAAACTGATGCTACAGTTCATATATGATGCTAGCAAAGCTGAGATTAAAGTTAAGAAGAATTGCAATAAAGATTGTTATACTAAAGAATTGTGAAGAGGAGTTGTGAAGATGATTAGATACTTCCTCCAATAGTGATTTTTCTTGAGAATAATTAGATATATCAAAAGAGATTGCAACAAAAATTGTTTTACTGAAGAATTGTGAAAAAGATTAAATGTTTCCTCCAATAACAACTTTTCTCAAAAATAATTAGATGATTTATCCATCATAAAAAATAACGACTCTTTTCTATGGAACTCGGTAAGTGTTTACTCCTTTATTAGATTTGTAATGCTATTCATATGAATGTTACACACTCACAACTCAAATTATTGTATGCAACCAAAGGGGAATCTCAACTTTACATCTAAGAGGTTTACTCTTAACTTGATGTAAAAGAGATTAATTCAACCATTTAAATAAGTAAGCAAAATTGTTGCGGTCGATTTATGAGTAATAAGCTAAGACCAATAAATGAGTGATAAAGCTTGCGATCAATAGTATAACATCATTACAATCAAATTATGAGCAATAAAGCTAGTGGCTAAAATATGAATGATAAATTATGGCCAACGAATGAGTGATAGAGCTTGCGACCTATAAAAATAAATATCATTATAGCCAAAATATGAGCAGTAAAGCTTGTGGCTGAAGTAAGAATGATGGGCTATGGTCAAAGAATGAGCAATAAAGCTTTCGACCAGTAGCATAATGTCATTGCAGCCAAAGTATGAGTGATAAAGTTAGCGTTTGAAATATGACTTTCTTTTCTTTCTAAATGTCAAATTTCAATATATAAAGTAATAAAGTGTCAAAGTCATAGAAGTATCATACATGAGAGAGAAACAGGTTGTTTTAGACCCTATTGTTCCTAATCAATAATGTTCCAACTTGCATTTTCTTATGGAATATTTTGCTTAAGTCTTTACATTTAAGAAGTGAATGACAAAATGTTTTGTGATAGCCACAATATCTTAGGTTGGATTTCTCTTTTGCTATTAATGGTCAAATAACATAAGGCAAGTTCGCATGTTTATCCTTAATCCATTCATGACGAAGTTCTTAATATCCTAGTGGAATTGAGAATGGTGGAGAAAAATTGTTCTCATTACATGGCCATTTCCTTAGATCATCCCTTCTAAAATGTAAATTTGATTGTAAAAGACCTTTTTTTTCTTTGTGTCTTCCTTGAATAGCATTCACTATTGAGGTATTCCTTCATCAAAGTGAGTAGCTCTTTTTTGTTTAAGAACAGTATTATTGGTTCTTTATGCAGTTTCTACCAAGGTAACAGAGGTTGGAAAAGGTGAGTTCTCCAAGTGTAGCTTATACTCATCAAACATCCTTTGAATGCAAAGCTTCACCAATTCCTTCTTATAATGAGACTCTTATACATCCAACACCCTTGTTCTAAAGCGTTGGATATATTCAATAAGGTCTTCTCTAGACTTTTGATATTTTCTTCCCAAATTAATGAGAGTAACCTTTTCTTAAGTAGAAAAGAATTTATCCCAAAACATCCTACACATTTAACTCCAAGATTCACCAGAGCCTAGGGTAAGATTAACATACCATGTATAGGCCTTTTTAGTGAGAGATTTAGATAACTCCTTCAACTTCAAGTTATCATTTAATCTCACTACTTCGAGTGTTTCCACAACTTCATAGCATGCTTTTGTTCATCACTAGTCTTACCATTGAATTGCTTGAATTTAGGACTGTTGTAATCCTTAGGATATGGCTTAACAGCTATACTTGCTAGGTAAGGAAACTTAAGATAAAATATGGAAAAGTTGAAGCTTTTATCCTTCTGATTGAGTAACTTTTTGAGCTCTTCCATTGTCATAGAGCCTTGAGTAGTGAATGGTGGAATTATTATAGTAGAGGTAGTTGTTGGTGTAACTGTAGTAGTGGAGTTAATTGGATTGGGGTTTGTAACAACTACTACATCAACTACACCTTCTCCATATCATTCATTCCCATATGTATTTGTAACTAAGGGAGTGGCTTCGTTAAGTGAGCTTTCATTAAGGCATTCATGTTGGGCTTGCGAAGTGGTGGCAGTAGAGGACGCAAGTTAAGACATAGTCTCCATCATCAGATCTTGAGAAGCTTGAATGATTCTCATTAGATTCTGAATGTAGGATGAAACAGGTGCATCTTGGTTGTTAGTGGAACTCTCTATCTTTCCCAATAACACAAAGTTATGTAGTAAGAGTTTTATTTAATGCAATCACTCATCTCTATTGTAGTCGACAAAATGTAAATGGGGCTTTTGTGATAGGGAGAGGAAACGTTGTAAACAATTAAAAGGGATATACTGAAAGCGATAGAGAAGAAGATTGGAGTAATTCTTGAAGTACTCAATGCCATGGTAGGAAGAAGAGGATAGATGAATAGTAGAGTAATCATTGAGGATGCGAAAAGAATAGGTGAGCGGTAAAGTGAAGCTAAGAAGCACTAAGTAGAAAAGTGCTAGAGAGAGAAGCTCTACGTAAGAATGAGATAGCTTTAGAAAAGTGAAGATCCCTCAAATAAATTGTGAAAGTGCCATATATAGTGCCAGATATAACAGTTACTCAATAATAGGTTTTAATGCACATAATGAATGATATTATTATAAAGAGTTTTAATATTAGTAACCGTTACTGTAACTTATTATGTGAATATTAAAATGATGATTTTATTGCATATAATGAGTAATGATTAGAAACTCATTATGTAGTTGTTAAAGTAATTAAGTGTAATAAGATTTGTTCTTGAATATAAGGTAATAAAGAAGATGTACACATGAAAAACTATATGAGAACAAGTTAAAAGAAAAAAGTGTACGTGAATAAGTATAAGAAAAGAAAATGTACGTGAACAGGTACAATAGAATAAGGTAAGAGAAGGAAACATTTGTGCTTGAAGAAAAGGTAAAGAGGAAGACCTCTTAACTATCTTTATATATGAGCCACCAAGCCAAACTCTCCATATCATTTCAAAATGAAAGTAACTTGTGAACTTTACTACTTATTCTAAGTTACTTTCACTATTATCCATATAAAGTAGTTATTTTGTACGAGGTAGTTTCTCTACTTATATTAATTGTTCCATGTGAAATAATGCTTCACATATTCTAGTGTACTCATTATTATAACATTATGTTGTAAAACAACTCTAAAAGAGAATAAGTAGTAATCAAAATCAATTATCTATAAAGGATGTATAAAAAAATTCAATAAAATTGTTTCTTTTAAATTAGTACTGAATTAGAAAAGGAAAGCAATTGGTACAAATGAGATGAATGTTCGGCATCATTTGAGGCTTATGAAAACGGGCTTATAAATTGTGGTGAAGGGTGGAATTGCTTTATCTTTTTCTTTTCTTTTTTTTTAATTAAAGGGGTTTATTGCTTATTTGAAGAGTAGCTTTGATTGTGATTAATGAGAAGCTGGTGGGATTAAGATTTCGTTTGATAATGAAAAAATAAATTGTTGAATATAATTTTGTGTGTAAAAATTTTATTTTTTTATTGTTCTAATAAATTATCAAAAATATTTTCAGTATTTTAAATTATCTTGTATAAAATATTTTTAATTATTAATTATTTTGAAATAAATTTTATCTTCGTCACTTTTTTATCATGATATTATAAAAAAAAATAAAAACAGAGTACCGGTTAATTGGTCCAGAATGCAGCAGTTCTAGCATGACTGGCTCTGACAACCCAAGGTGACTCGAAGCAATTACCAGGCGTGGCATCTCTTCTGCATACTTGGGCGTGTGAGATTATACTTTCCCCTCTTGAGAGAGGAAATCCTTTGCATTTGCAACAAAACGATCCGTGCTGAGAGAAATTCAAACATTTAAACAAGCCCCGCCAAATTTCAAACATATGGCTCCCTTTCCATCTCCTCTCGAACGAACCGTTGCTTCAGCTCTTCTCCTTCTCTCCACTCCACCTTCCAAGTAAATGAAAGCTCAATCCATCTCTTTTCGTATTTCAGTCGAACGAAACTTTGATGTTCTTTTTTTTTTTGTTTTTGGTAAGGTTGATGATCAGTTGTTGTGATGGCGAGAGGCGAGGAAAGAGCATGAGCGAAGAGAGGTTGAGCTTGATGTCGTCGAGTGAATCCAAATCCTGCACTTCCTCTCTTACCACTGATCAGTTGTCATCTCGAAAGCAAAAGCTAAGGATCATTGCCGCTGTGGCTCGCTGCCATGAAATTAAGCTCAAGGTTGCCATGCCTTACTCTGTCTCTCTTCCTTTTAAGAGCTTTTTGAAGTTCTGTTTGTTTTCCTTGAATTTCTCAAGTAATTATATATCTTCTTCAACAAAAGTACCGTTCGTGATTTCTTCTTTTGCTTCAACACTTGCACCTGAATTTCTTTTCTAAGTGCTAGTACTTGCTTAAACACTCCGTTGGATTTGTGTTTGGCTTATATCTGATGGATAAGTTGGCCGCTAACATCTAACGTGATGGTTTAGCTTGATTTTAGAGGTGAGATCACTCATTTTGAGATGATAATTTAAAATTCAACCAAGTTAAATCGTAGACTTCTTTGAATTCGTCTCAAAATTCAAACCGCGAGCTGATCTAATTTCTTCATTGTTCACTTCAACTTTGCTCGATTTGCACTAGCTTCACAGCAATTATTTTGAATTTTCTATCTGAGCATTGAAACAAGCCTGTAGATGATTCATGTTATTACATTTTTGCTTGCACTAATATTAAAATCAATTTAATTTCGCCTATGTGCCTTTGATTTAAAGTTTCGCTCAAATTTCAATCTCTTATTGGATGTTGAAATTTAAAGTTGGATTCAAGTGTCTCTTATAGCAATCAAAATCAAGATATTTCTACAAGCGCATGATCGGTTCAAGTTTTCATTTTCATTTTTTAGAGTCAAAATGTTTTGGAACTTTCACAGGTGGTGAAGAAGAGGCGATCAAAGATCTACCGGAGCTCCAATAGCGGGAAAATCCCATCGTTTAAGTCATTAACCTCATCCGATATGGCTACGGAGATGTCGTGCTTGTCGAGCAGCTCCAGCGGCATCTCAAGCGCGCGAATCCGAAGTAAAACAACCAAAGCCGAGAAAATGCAGGCCGCCAAGCAAAGGAAGAGGCCCAGCGGCTGCTCGACTCACATGCGGCGCCGAGCCGAAGCCATTTTGAAATTGCTCTCCGGCGGTTGCTTCTCTGAGGTTAACATTCGTCGAGTGCTAGGTGACAGTCCTGACACAAGCAAGGCCCTTCGAATGTACTCTCTTACTCTTTGCCACGTGTTACCTGAATTATGAACGTGGTCTTTTTTTTTTTAAGTTCCTTAGATGCACAAAGATCAGTGTGGTTGTGTACATCTCGGCCGTTGGAACGTAGAAAGTTCTTTGAGATCCTACGGTTTGAAATGAATCCAGACAAAGTGTTGACTGGGTATATAATATGAAATCTGGCTGGTCAATTGATCAACTTGGCAAATCATTTGCCGTTGATCAAGAATACTTAATAAAACTCTGAAGAATTAACGGTGGGGGATGGTGCTAATACTATATGATTTTGCGCAGGTTGTTAAAGCAGGAAGAAGTGAAGAGATCAGGGACTGGAGGGCAAAAAGACCCTTATATTTACACGGTAATTAATTTTGATGCTATTTTTAATTGTCTTTTTTTTTATTAGATTCGAATTAAGAAATAACATTTCTATTGTGCCTAGTTAGTTTCACGTAGATATTATTTATGTAACAATTCGAATGACTCTATTTCACCTATGCGTTGTGCTGTGAAATGCAAATATTAATCTTATTATGAATAAGCAAGTGGAGTATACTGTATACATGTAACTAAACGTGTCTCAAAATTAGGTTGACATAATCTTATATTATTAGCAAAGATCAATTAGTATTATTGGGATTATGATCAAATTTGTTATTATTCTGTGAATTAATATTGGATTTTGTCATTGTATTTTTATTTTTCTGGTTTTCATCATTTTTAGACAAAATTGAATGAAATTGATAAAAATTAATCATTTACGTCAATAGATTATAAACATAGTAACAAAATTCAATAAACTTAAGATATAATGATAAAATTTAATACTGAGTCAGGGTGTAATTGCAAATTTGACCATCTTCCTAAGTATAAAAAAATCGGTTTCTAATAGGATACATATTGTTTGTTGCAGATAGCATGAGAATGAGCTTACAAGGACGGTATACCTGGCAATTCATGAGGCCAGGTGACGTGTAGATTGGCGAAGATTCCATTCCCAGTAGCTCTCAGGGAAATTCTAATCTAACGGATAGGTAAAAACTATAAGACAACAGCACAAAAGCGAATCTATTAATTACTTGATATGGTAGTAGATATATACTAGAGCTAATCCTATATCTTAATTTGTTCTTAATATCCTAGCTATTTGCAAGATGTAAATGGATGGACATATACGGTAAACACAAGTCATGGTATACATATGCTGCATATATCACAGAGTTTATAGTATTAAAATGTCAATAAGTCGTTTATCTTATTTTGCGTTGCTCGATATTTTTATATTTGGCATGTTGGTAGCCCTTTCAGGCAAGCTATATTTGGTTACAAGTCGTTTTAAGTTGGTAGCCATTTATTAGCGTGAACGGCCATCATTATTTGACTTCTTTGCAGTAGTATATCCAAGCAGGCAAGAAACCCAAGACGAGGCCCAAAAGGCAACAAATGTTTGAGGGACTCTTCTAGAGGGGAGAAAAAAATGGAAACCCAAACTTAATATCTGTTTGAGAAACTTGAATTCAACATCAAATGACTTGAATCTGGAAGATCTGAAACTAAAATGATTCAAATTAAAAATCGATTGATTTAAATTTTAAATAATTCGATTCGAACATATTTGTTTGTCACTTTTGAAAGTTTTAAGCTATTTCTTGAACAATCTAAATATATATATTTTTTGTATTAATCGCTGACAGTATATTTATTTATTTTCGAATAGCAACAGTGTATTTATAAGAAAAGTAAAAACTTACTTTCATTAAATAACTTAATACTCGTGTAAATATATTCATTTTTTTTGTAAAGTAAATATATTCAATTTTATAATAATATTTTATTAGAATTGGTAAGTGAATTTGAACTTGAAAAGTCTATTCAACCCGTTCAAACTTGATTAAAAAAAGTCAACAATTTGAATCTATTTAAACTCAAAATGACACAAATTTAATAATTAAGTCAAAATAATTTGATTCAAATAATGTGTCAAAAATTAATTTAATCTGACTTTTAAAATATCAACAAATTTAAATTAAAAATACTCTAAAATCGAATGATCAGAATTTGGATACTCAAATGTCAAACTCAAATTACTCCTATCTAAAATGATTCGAATTCAAAAAATAACTTTAGTTTTTTTCAACCAAAAAATGATCCCATCGAACTTATTTAGTTGTCACCCATATATTTTATATTACACATATCATACCATTGAACAAAAGGAATTCTATGAACCTCTTTCTACATTTTATAGTCCACTGAACCGTGTTATGTTCATCATGCCATATTTCTTATCATAAATAAAATTATTTATCTCTGTTCTATATGGACTATTATTGGATACATGTTTTTTCTACTGTGGCATTTTCCTTGAAAAAATTGACAAGTAATTGCATCGTTAGCTGACAACAAATTTGTATGAGCAACAATGACAAGCAAAATTGCATTTCAAGTCAAATTCCAAAATGGTTAGACTCAACCATTTCCTTCGTGTCGTAGAAACTGGTTTGTTTGCGATAGTCAAGGACTCTGATAGTTAGGAAGCAAAATTCCTAGGAAGTGGGCTAACTTTAGAGACGAACAACAAGTAGTTGGTTTGTGTGGGGTGGAGCGCCGTCTAAGTCACGCGGCGAATGTTTAACGCGTACAGCCAAAGCTGACGCAGTCTTCCTTGTGGACTACAGCTAGGAAAGACAGCATGTTCGTCGGTCCAGGCTACGCCTTTTGACCCTGCAATTGGACATATTAAAAATATTTAATTTTAATTAATAATTGGATGCTTCCACTAAGAGAGGAGGGAGTTGGGTTGGAATAAGTGAAGGGAGCCGCCCATTTGACCAGGTTTGCCGGTGGATTATAACTTTTATTTTGCTTATTAAAATGCTTACTTGGTGAGCACATGAGATTGTGTTTTCTTTTCTTCACGTTATTGGTAATGTTATAAAAAAAAAAACTAATTTATACCTCCAACCAAATCAACAACCTAATATGACATTAGGAAATACAAACATTTTTGTTCTTTTTTACACAAAAATATTTATTGTAATATGAAATTATAAATGTTAAAAGCAAATATAAAAAATGTGTTATGAATTGTTTCTTGGTTAATTTTGGTAAGCTCTTAAATTCCATGAATAACAATAAAAAGCATCTTTCCATAAATTGTGAGATGCACAATTACAAAAATCAATAAATAGGAGCAGTAAATTAGAATGACTGCAATAGAAAGGAAGGAAACATATATGCGGTCTTAAATACAAAAGGCAAAAGAATAGAAAAGTCAAAGGGCAGGTAAGAGTCTATAAAAGCAATAGTCTCTTCCGTGCTCTGGCAGAAATCCAGCAACATCAATTTTTCTCCTCCATCTCTCTTTCCTTCTCGTTTCATATTCTGAATTCCAGAAACGAAGGAAGAGACTTGAGAGCTGCAGATCCTTATAAATCAAATAGTTGTAGAAGAGACAAGAGACAGGAAGATTGAAATGGGGAAGTACATGGAGTTGTTGGATGCAGGGGTGAGGATAGCAGCGAGGTTCCATTCTCATTGCCCGCAAACTGCACGCCTGTACTACCATCCTCCTCCTAACCCTGAAGGCCATCATGACTACCATCATGAAGCCAGGACTGGCAGTTGCTCTACCGTTCAGGTTCAAGACCCAACCCTCGTGCTCAGCTGTGGTGCCAAGGCAGCCAAAGGGCTTGACTCTACCGAGCTCATCTTTTATTCTGTAGTGTGAAGAAATTGATACCCTACACAACTTTTGACGACACAGATAATTGACACAGTTTTGCTATTATTCTTACAATTTCAGAATCGGAGATGTTGTTAGTTCATATACTCAATTAAAATTCTTTTAACTCTCTCTCTCTCTCTCTCTCTCTCTATATATATATATATATATATATATATATATGCTTGTGTGAAAAATGGTTGATTTGGGTTGTTGTATTTTATTGGCCTTAATTAATCCAAGAGGAAGTATGATTATATATTTTGTTTGAGAACTTGGCTGAAGGAGGGTTATCATATGTGGAGCAGTGACAAACCAAGGGCTATTCAATTCCAACCTTCACTTCAATTCACATAATTGTATATCTTACACATTTGTAGCAGATATTAATTGATTTTGAAGGGATTCAAATCATAGTATATTAAGATGGATCATATGCAACGGAATATTAAAATTTTAATCTTTAAATTATGAATTACTTTCAGTGGATTTAATTTAAGAAAAATCACAAGAGAAAGATTTCAATGTTGATATATGCTATTGAATCAATTGTATTAGTTAAAGGAATATATATTGTCCTTTAATACATACTTATTTACATAACTATATGTGATAGAGGTTTTTCTTCATACTAGTGCAATAATAAAAAGTTATTAAGTACTAATTGGATGAAGTTCATGGAACATAAATGCTTTGCAAGAGAATTGTAAAGTTGTTATAACTATGAGATTATCATTTATCAAAGCGATGTTTTTAAAATTGTTCTTGGTCATTGTATTGTCAAGACAAGGTATTAAAAATGCTCAAAAATTGATATATATTAAGTCTTCTTACTTAGAAGTAAGCAATCAATTTCATAGATTGAAATATACGAGATACTTGAGGATAATATGTAAGGTGCTTGTTAAAGTACAAATTCATTGAACATGATTTGCTATGAGAACTCCATTTGGTAGTTCACTTAAGTGTTTATGGAATATGTTCTTTTGTGATAGTGATGCAACTAGTTGTCATATTTGAGACACTAGACCATCTTGCATGGGTAATGACATATTGTCATTCACTTTTACGGGTTTGGAGATGACCAGATACCTAAACAGGATATTTTTGGGTATGCCATCAAGAATGCGAAGGTGGATGAGTAGTCAAGAGAGGATTCATCAGCCCAAGTGATATGAGGGGATGAATCTCACTTGTTCTCAATTCTTAATTAACTTGTATAAAGTCTTTGGCCAAAGCATGGTGAATTTGAGGAAAGTTAGTTTTCTAAATTCATAAAGTTAGTCATGAATTATGAGAACTAATATGAAATGTTATAAGTAGACACTGAGTCATGCTTTATGACATGTTCGAGATATTTGATGAAAAGATCATATTGCACTGAGTGGCTTAGTACTGAAGAGTTTTGTAGAATTCTTTAATTGACTGTTTAACATTTGAGTGGTCATGATGTATTCCTAGATACCACTCATGATCTATAAATATAAATTAATTATCAAATTGATATTTAATTAGGATTTATATTTATTGTGAACATATTATAAGCTTAATAGGCACACACATCAAGTGACATAATTGAGATTAAATAAGGATAATCAATTAAATTAGATTTAATTAAAACAGACCAAAATAAAGTGAAAAAATTAATTAAGTTCATAAAGAATTAATTGAATAAAAATGTAACTGTTGTATCAAAGGTTACAAATTAGTTTGACTATATAAATATGTTATGTTAGCCAATTAAAACTTTAAGCCTTTAGCTACTTCTTAGCCGTTTCATAAAGAAATAAGAAAAGAAAAAAAATTTTATTTGTCTGATAGAAATAAGATTTGACAAGAATTTTTAGTCTTTTTGTTTTAGAAACAAAACTTACTAACACAAGTAAAATCTTATTTTTCAGAAGATCTTATTTGGCCACTGTATGGATTATTGTTAGAGGCCAAACACTTGGGTGACTAAAGATTTGACAAATTTTAAAAGTGAAGATGCAAAGATTTTGACTGTAGGGTTTTAGATTGACTTGCTTTTTTTGGGGGGGTTTTTGCTTTATTACAAGCCTTTTGGATTTAATTGGCTTTTGATTATGATATCTAGAGTAAGGTATGTAATTCTTAAACTTATAAATGTTCATAATTAATTTAAAAATTACATGAAAAAACACAAGCATTGATCCTGTGGGACTTGGCTATTTCTTTGATTAAATGCTATTTAATTTTAATTTTTCGCTAAGTTATATTTTTAATTTCTCGATTATTTTGATGTTTGAGCAAGAAGTTGAATCCCAACATTTGACATACTTGAAAGTTTGATATCTTCTTTCTTGGCTTTTTTTTTTTTTACTTTTGTACACTAACTAGAACTTATCAAACCATAATTGCACAATTATCTTGCCTCTAATGGTGATCCACATAATCAGTTATCAAAATTTTTTCATTAAAAGTGTGTAA